ATAAATAAGGAATTTCTTCGATAATGTAACCTAGATGAATTTCATTGTTTTGGTTCTGATCATGATCATTTTAACACTGACTAGAAATACTTATCAGTCAAAACTTTGACTTCTGAATTTTTGTCCACTAATAGATAGTGTCAAATTTCACTGATTGGACACATTGAACCTTTAGTTCTATTACTTATCTTCTTAAGATCTATTTTAAGGACTGTTCAGTTTCAAATTCAATAAATTGTAAATATTTATTTTATGATATTATGTATTTTCTCTTCTAAAAAAGTGCTTCGAAGAAGGATATTAAAAAGATTCTATATTTAGTGTGTGTATATTTCGAGAAGTTTTATTGGATAAAGTACAATAAATCAGTTATGTTATTTCATTTTTAATGGACACTATTATTTCGAAGAGTATGAATATACTCTTTCACAGAATTAATCATTTATATCAGAAATATTGTTGTTTTGTATATGTTAAGAAGAGTTCCTTTTGTGCAGCTTATGCCAGTAGAGATAAGCGTGATCTTTACGGTGATTGTTAGCAGTCATATCTAAAAGAAACTCTGAAAATCGATTTAGACTAAAAAATCCCCGTAATTAGGTGTCAGTAATGCTAACTGAAATTGTCCGAAGGCTTCTAGTAATGATGTTCTATGTTTACGGAATACAATGTCCAAAGTAAGAGAATATTTAAACCACTTGTAGAAGATAATTTTAGTATTTTCTATTTGGAAAAAGAATAACCGGATATGCATTTCTAGGGGACCAGTTAGTTTGACTTTTTGAACGACTTCGAACTCGTTTCCGATCTATTTCAACTAGAAATAACGCTACCTATCCCTCTACACCTGGATTTTGACCATACTATCTGCTGAGTATTTACCCTGTCCCACCTAACCTAGTGGTCAGGTTGCTCTTAACACCGTCCCTACAAGAGAAAGGAGAATATAAACCTTACGGCTACTTAAAGGTGTATTTATCAAACGATGGTACGAAGAGAGTATACAGGTACACAATCACACCGTCACACAGCAGGACAGTTGCTCACTGAATAACCAGTCGTCCGCAATCTGACCTATTCGGTACAGATAAACAAGTTAACCGTTGAAAGTGAAATGGTTGGGATTCAACTGAATGGACTAATTTCTCTGTTCCAATACACATAAACGAACTACTATTAACTTATGACGAGTAAAAATTATGAAAGTAAGATTGTGTAAGAAGTTAAGTTATATATAAGCTGAGATTTTGTAAATCCTGGCTTAATAACCCTCTGATAAAGCTATTAGAATTAAATAGCGAAACGTCAGTAAAAACAATATCGTTTTGTTTTTCATTCACATTAAGAAATACAAACTTTTATGATAATGAGTTAGGTTACTCATTATAAATGAAATAGGAGAGAAAAACTTAGCATCATTTAAGTAAAAGTAGAAAAGTTAACTATTTATTTAAATTATTTTGAATTTCCAATTGATAGACTGTATTGAACCTAAATGTATAGTCTCGATTGTATAGTTGTACAAGTGATGGCTATTGTATCTTAATAGCCCAGGGAGGAAAACGATGATAAGCGAGGTTTACGCTGATGAAAAATATCATATCAAATTGTATAACTTGACTGATAGGCGACACACGTGTCAAAGGATTCTTTCTTCATATTCAGAAATTAATAAACTGTCATGAATAATTTGCATTGAAGATTTCTGAACGGAATGCCCGAAATCTTATATTATCACTTTAAAACTGGAGTATTTCTCAAATTCTTAACAGAGTTAACTTCAAATGATGGGGGAGGATTTGTAACTTAGGTGGATGATTTTGAATTCGTTGTGTTCTCTGAGCTGGTTGATTTAATTGCGAAGCGCGCGTCATCCTTCTGGACAACATCTTCAGCGCAGGTTTTAGTATGCAATCAACTCATTTGAATTCTCCATGAATTATATAATTGTGTCTCCTGACCCCCATTGTGGTGACTGGTTGTTGATTTACGTCCCTCTCTCTCTCTAAATTATAAACTCCAAGTCAATGAAAGTGATCAACAGAGATGTAAGTCAGCAACCAGTCACCACAATGATTGCAAGGAGACAAAATTATATCAATAATGGAAAATTCAAATGGGTCGATTGCATACTAAAAATTGAGCTGAAGATGTTGTCTAGAAGGACGACGAAAGCTTCGCAATTAAATCAACCAGCTCAGAGAGCATACCTAATTCAGAATTAACTTCAAATTACTATCGTTGACGCACTGGAATTCAGTTACCTCCTTGTTTTACTCTGATTATACTGCTTTATTCTCATAGATAATATTTAACTCGGTTACCTGTCAGTCATAATTAATAATTTCGAATAAACGGACAGGAACAGAGAATGAGAGTTATTTACATTTCAATCATTTTAAAACTGCAAACAGTACTCCATTTCGCTTTACATGTGTATGAATGATGGGTAGGGGAAAGGCACATAGTATACAAAAACTACAGTGTTTTAATGTTAGACTTTTTGACTGATAAACAGAATTCAGAATGAGAAGGTTAACTTAACTAGTTACTGCAGCATAAACACGCGAATGATTGAAACAAGGTGAATTCATTTAGAATTTGATAGAAAACCAAAAAAGTGATGAAAAATATGGTAATACTAATTAGCGATCTCCATCTACCACAGTCGAATAATATGCTTTTAACTGATGAGCTAAAGTAACAATTATTTATCAACGAATTAGCTGCAAAATACTCTATTTTCTATACAGCTGTCCAGTACTACCAGGTTTTCCAATGGTTCTCTAACTAATGTCAGCTCATGATTAAATCCTGTAACCAATCAAATCCCTACAAACCAACACCTGAATATCAATGAGATGCACACTAGCGACTCGCCCTATTCAGGCAGGTAGTTACCTGAGGTTCTAGTTAGAAGTCGTGACCAGTAGGGTGCAGCAGGTCGGGGGTGAGGACAAATACTCACCGAAGACATTGGCCAGGGGTCGAGCTATGTCGTGAATTGGCAGGAGTTAGAATTCATGGACTGTCCATTGGATCGGGTCCCAGTGGCTTAGTGGTATACGAGCCCGCCTTGTAACCAGAAGGTCCTGGGTTCGAGTCCCAGTGGGTGCGTACTGCTGAAGAGTCTCAACCTAGGACGAAACAGCTGTCCAGCACTACCAGGTTTTCCCATGGTTCTCTAACTAATGTCAGCTCATGATGAAATCCTGTAACTAATCAAATCCTTACAAATTAACACTTAAACTCTATTTTCCATTGGAAAAGTTACTTAATGAATAGCCAGGAATCAGCCAAGACATAACCAGTAAACTGTAGTCAGTACATATACACTCTGTACACTGCCCCATTTTTCCACCAAAGTACTGTTAAATATTGTACGCAGTCATAAGAACTTTCATTGAATGTCTTTTATTTTGAAAATCAATTTATTTAAAAAAAAACTGCGTCGACTTAAATAGTACTTTATTCTTACGGGTTTCATTCTTTTATAGCAAAGATTTCTTTTGTACACCTTCAAAACTTTTATTATTGACAGTATAATTTTGTATAAGCCTCTTAGATACTGTGGAAGAATCTAAATAGTATTAACTGCATAGACCTAAGTATTATAGAGGAATAATGACTGCTTTTTTTCCGACTTATCATCTATTTTTCTAATAAATATATCCTCAAGTCCTCATAAAATATTAGCTGAATAAGTTTAAATTCATCCAGTCACATGTTTCTAAACGACTGCTTGTTGAACCTTCATTAGTTTATTATAAAATAGTTAAGGGTAAATTGATTAAGTTAGGAATGACTGAAGCTTCAGACACTACATACACAAAGGAAACATTCAGTAAAGCTGGATATGTGAAATGAATTTATCCAGGTAAAATTTATGATAGACAATTCATGAGTCCATTTTAACAAATAGTTACATTTACGCCAGCATAGAGAAAGAAATTTGGATTTTTAGCATTCATTTTAAGTCAGCTCTTCTGTATGAGTCAGAAATCTAACACACGCGTCACCGAAATCATTTCCAAAAAAACTGTTGCAGACATTGATCAACAGCTGCCTTCACTTCATATTGAAGAATAAGTGGCCAAAAAGAATTAGTAACAAGAAACTATGAGAACGAAGCACCTAAAAGCTTGTTGCTCAACATATATGACGAAGAAAATTGAGATGATTCGGACAAACGTTGAAGAGACGGTCAGGGGATATTGCACACGGGGCCTTCACTGGAATGGAACTCGAAAAGGGAACGACGAGTTGAGCTGTGGTCCGAGGGCGACATGGAGGAGATCGAGCGGAGAGGAGATGAGAGACTATGGGTAATCGTGGAGCCAGCTAAAGGGGACCTCAGAGGTAGAAATCACTGATTCCCTTATACATTGCATGAGAGTTAAATAAAATGATCCAGATCACTCAACTCAGTAGAACCCAAATAAGCTGATGTTGATTTGTATAACTAATGCGTTGATCTACCTAATTTTAAGGGGCATCCCAACAACCGTTAGCATTTTCTTTAGTTTAAGACCTCCATTTAGACGTGTAAGTAATTACAGATAACTAAAAACACCAGGTTTTCGCATTGTAGTTTAAAGGCATACACAGGTTGTGATCATTTCCGAAACATCTATGGATTTGTAGTGACATGTGTATTCAATAGGTAAGAATTGTTTCACTATATAGAACATTCATTGTGACTAGGGTCTTTTTCACTCCAAATAATTAATTGTGTATTTATATATAATAAATATATATTGATGAAGATGTTAGTGACAGAAATTTCATCATGTAAAATGTGATTAAATGTGCACCTATATTTAAATGTACATTCATTTTTGTGGATTACACACTGAATATCGCAAATTAACAAATATATTTAAGCTACCTATGAAGGGATGATAAGTAGAAAGGGAGGCTAAGATAACAGAGAATATGTCACATCATGGTAATACATATATATATATATATATATATATATATATATATAATGTGGACAAGTTTATAACACCTAATTAAATTGCAATAAATAGAATGAAAATACTGGTAAGGTGTAATCAGCATAAAGTTATTATTTCATAATTAAAGCGAAATGAAATTCCGATTATAGTGAAAATAAATTATTCAAAAGGGTATGTTTCAGTGTGCTTTAAAAAAATAACAATATGCATTCATAAAATACTTCATTATAATATTCATTTATCTTTTATGATTATATAAGACGTTATCAATATGCAGAGCGGATGACTGCAGTACATTAAACTGTTTGTTTTTTTACACACTGTCTACAAGACAATAAATTTTTTTTATTATTATGACTATTAGGTGGATGTTGATTAATGTTTAGACAGAACTTGAAAGTTGACCAGAAAACTTAAGACTCCAATGTTCCAGCAGTTATGAAAACTCATGGTTGCCGATAACGCCTAATTCCCTCTCAACCAGTAGACTTTTTTGCTTATGCATCTGTTCGATTTGTATGATGATTTTAATGGATTTTTTAATTTAGAGTCTGATGAAAGAGTTGTCGAGAATAACTGTTCTCCTAAATCTCTCTTGGTTTAATCATAGATAGCCGACAAAAAATTGACTCTAATCTCATTTTTTTCAATTTAAATCATCATTTTTGAACAAAACACTAATTTTATCCTTTACGGAAGTCGCATTACGTTGGCTAATTAGCTACTACGGAGTAGTAAATGACTTTTTGATTTCCCAAACGACTGAATTAGCTTATCTAGCCGATTTGACGCTAAAGTGATATTCGCTTACCTTTGTTCCTGTGACGCATAAACTTACGTTATTTTTTATAACACTACTCTGTTTAAGAGTATGGCCTTTCTTACGGAAGCCTTCTGAGAGCACAGACTGTTGTATTGCAGGATTAAGAATGCGACAAACGCAGATTAACATAATTTTCTGCTTTGATGTTATTACTATGTTATGAATTACTCGTACTTTTTTGGTTGTAAGCTCCAATAAAGTTTACTTCATAGGCGATTGTCTTATTCCATTCTTATATTTATGTTTGCTTTTCAAACTATTGACTAGTTAGTTTTATGCTTTCTGTGTCTAACTCAATAGTACTACCCGTGTTTATTTCCAGGTAGAATAAATTTCATTTGCATTTCTATGACAGACTGCTTGTGCAGCGAACTTCAAGTGCGGTTTTAAAAGAGTCAAGTTTTCTCGATTAATAGTTTTGTGAACAGTAAATAAACGTTTCACATAAACTGTTCTTATGGTATATTTTACGATGCATTCTGTGTGCATACAGCTACGAAAATCCATTAATGATGCATTAAATGGAATAATTTAGGTAACAGTTTTAGTAGACAATATCTCAAGAACTATTATATTAATCTTCGTAACATAGTTATTATGCTTAATCATTATTTTATTCTTCATATGCTTTAATATAAGGATAAAAATTTAGGCACAGAAGTTTTGGTTAACTTGTCGACAGGCTGTCATGTATTCACCTTTAAGCAACTCATCTGGACATAAAAACTGTAAATCTACTTCGATCGAAATACGCAAAGTGATTCTCAGATTTATGCCAGGAATAGGTGGTTAAAGCCAAATAAAATCCTTCAGTTATTTTTCCCCTCACATATTTACTCCCCTTTGTGAATTTGAATAAAGCAAGAGCAACAGTTCGTGCAGAATGACATGGTACTATCATTTATTTCGTTGGCTTCTCACCAGCTGCTTACAGCTCAAATAGATTATTAAGTTTATGTTCAGGAAAGTTTTAACATACTAGGAAATTTTATATAATATCAGCTGACAGGAAGTTCCGAACTTAGTCAAAAGTGTTCAAAAAATAACGCTCATATAGTTTCTGAACAAAAAGTTCAAGTTTTAACATAGTAAATGTATGCATACAATGGTAAAGGAGTTACATAGTAAAGACGAGAAGTGTGTAAGATGATGACTAAGTAATAAATTAGGTAACAATGTACTGAGTTCAACTCAAATCATAAAGACAAGAGACAAGCAAAATTACACTATATCAAAGAGGGTGTGTATGTGACGTTAAAGCCGAAGATCACGTAATCAAATGAAATAGAGAGACATTGAAAACATCCAATTATCAGGGCGGGTAAGAAAAGACTGATAACTGCTTCTTTCTGAACACATAAATCTGGTTGCAGGAGTTTGATAGAGATTGCTTCGGCAAATTTGAGGAGCATTGAGCTTTTTTGTCTATTGATAATTTTAAAGGTATTTGCGGTTTCCACCTCATGACCGGTATCAAAAAGATGTCTGGTAATTTCTATATTGTAAGCGTTTGTTCCCTTGAGACGTAGGTTTTTCTGTGCATGTACAGAAAATCAGAGGTGTGCCTTTCTTTCTTTTCTCCTAATGTAAATGCTTCCACAGATACACGTTCATTCGTACACAGTTGGAGTTAGCATGAGAACGGTATCTGTCGACCTTCAACTGCACCAAGAAGCATGTTGTGCGATAGACGGGAACCAACTTAGCTGCAGGATTGGATCTGGTCAGTGAATTACTCAATCTTTTGTTGACTATTTTTGCAATATTTTCACCTTTAAAATCAATTCGAATCAAGAACAGGCTTTTTACCACTTTGATTTGTTTGATATTTGTGCCTTGACACCTTCCATACCTGTTAATGAATCTCTGTGGGTAACTATTGTTTTTCAACATTTTTTTCACGCGAATCAGTCAGTTTCTCCTAATATAAGTTCATAACTCTGAAAAAATGATATAAGGATGTAGAAATTTAGAAATTAGTAGAGGTAATGCCTAATAACTGACTGATGTCAGTCTTGAAAATAAGGGAATGAAGTTATATGAGCCGAACTAATCTGATATGAGGAATTTTGTTTTTTTAATGCCTACCATATGCGGAATTGTGGATAATATTATTATCAATTACCAATATCTATCTATTGAGTCATCTACTATCTGGAACGTTATAAATGTTTTACTGAGTAGTCTTTAAAATTATTTTCTGCATTTTTACAACAAGTAGACTGATAAAAATATTTTCTGTTTTCATAGTTTTGAAATTAACCTCTAAATTATTTGCTCAGTTTTAGTTAACCTTATTTACAAACAATCCCATTCAAGTTATAACAGTAATTTTTTCTTGATAGAAAATAATCAGTGGGAGAGTGTTATAGAAAAACATTCATTTTCAATGTCAGTAAATTACCTTGCATGTGGGCATTTGGTACAACATATATATAACAGGGTATGATAAGATACACGTTATTTATTTACCCACTAGTCGTCATCATAAAAAAACATTGGAGAATAAACATACTATTGAGATATTATACTAGTTGTGTGTCAGTGGTCCAGCAACCGAATGCTCACCAGTCTAGAAACCAGGGAAGGTTGTACGTAAGGCTAGCAACCCCACCATGTTTGAAGAAAATGCACCACTGCTACTGAATCTTCAAGGCATGATCTCTATGTTCTACTTGGAGTGCGTGAAGGGGTAAGAAGTTACTTGAGGCATAATACAATATAAAAGCGAATTAAAACTTGTAGTCACCCTGATGTACTAATGTTATGTATATAACGAAAGTGCCTGCCTGATTTGGATGTCATTCTTACTAACACTCGTAACTAAAGTGATTCTGCCATCTTACGTAAATTCGTGTCCCCCATGAAATTGAAATGTGCTTCAGTAAGTAAGTCAATCGGAAAGCAGTTATCATTTAGCCAAGTATTTCTTGCTAATTAATTTTAAACATCTACAACCGAACAAATTGCATTTCAATGTCATTTCAATCAGCCTAATAACTCACTTATTCTTTTTTTTTGATGTGGTTTTGTTCTCTGAGCTGGATGGTTAGTTTGCGAAGCTTTCATCACCTTACTGGGTGACATTTTCAGCGCATACTTCAATTTGAAGTGAGCTTTTAGATTTCTCCACGAGTTTATTAATCATCTCTCCTGGTGACCTTGGACGTGATTGGTTGTTTGTGTGTGTTTTCACACCTTCTAGGTTACTTGTATTGGAAGTATGCGCTGAAGATGTCACCCAGTAAGGTGATGAAAGCTTCGCAAACTAACCATCCAGCTCAGAGAACAAAACCACATCAAAAAAATCATCCACCTGAGCTACAAATCTTCTCTATAATATCTAACTCACTTATTCGTTTTTCCATTAGATTTGGATCAGTAGTCAGTACTATCTGGTGATCAGTTTTCTTGAGAATAATAATGTTGTCTCGGTATTCAACTATCTTGGACTCGGCGATTGACAGTTTTAGTTGCATAAACACCCACATCTTCAAACTTAATAAATTAGCATTAATGTTCATAGATTTGAAAAGAATAGGCAATAAAAGGTTATTTTCTACTTGTGGATTAAGAAGGTTTTTTTCAAAAATATTATGATTTTTATTAAATGTCAGGGAAAACTTACTTTTTGTAAATAACTTTAGCTTCACAAAGGTTTTCCTATTATTTAAAACATCATACAACATTTGTCAGCCATCGTTTACTAGCACGTGTCTATCTTACGTGACTGAAACTCAAATCACAAAACACAGTAGACAAAGGCGTGCTCGTGAGTTTAAATACTGCTAAACAATAATTAACATTTAGATACTAAAAAATCAGCGACTGCTGAGTTTAAATAATCGTGTAGTTTGTCTATGTCAATCGTTCAATGGAAGAAAGCTCACCAACTGCGCACGTGGTTAGGGTTCGATTCTCGCCCTACTTTCTCTTAATCTTGGCCTACTTTGCTAACCGATAGTAAGGCCAGAAAAGAGGAAGGATTGATCCTGAAGTTAACAGAGCCTCCTGTCGAAACAATACCATAGCTACTGAAATTCCTAGGCTTAAAGCTCCATGTTCCACTGGGAATTGAGAGGAAAGAAACTAGCAGTTAGTTGATGACTTTATTTTGCCGATCTTTTTAGAAGCTGCATAAAGACTTATGATTGAGTGTGTGAATTTTCAGAATGAGTGAAATATTACATTTGTTGAAATGAACCCTGTTTGTTTTGCGTTTAGATGTATTTTCTCAACAATAAAGCACTCTTCACTTACTTTATTCTTATTTTTTTTATTTCTGCATGTTTTAATTTAATAGGCTGTCACATACTTTCAACTCCTGATGTTATGTGAGTCGTCGTTAGTTTAATTAACTGCCATTCCGTGTAAAGATGGGAGTTTTTTTAGAAATTATAAGCAGTCTAAAAAGCTTGATATATTTGAACTGACCACTACTCATTCCCCAAAAAGTTGTTTCCTTTGTTTTCTTATCCATTTCTGACTTTATTTTATTTACAGCTGAATAAAAATCATGAACACACCTTGGATGACATCGATGAGTAATGATACAAGTATTTTGAATCCCTTTTGTCTTTCAACAAGAAATGCTTTAATGAATGTTGAACAAAAAGATGCTAATTATTATTTGGAACAAAATCTTAAATCAAAATATGCTTACAGTTTTCAAGGATTTAATGATACTAATAAAAATTTAGCAGATTTCAATACTTGCTGTAATTCCATATTCATTAATGATTCCTTTGAACAATCGAATCCAATTCCGTCAGTGGTGAAAAATGTAGTCAACACATCTAAAGAGGATTTATTCACTCCTGCTAATTATACTGATAGATTAAAATATGGTGCCAGTAGATGGGAAAGTGATAGTAATTCTAAATCAAATGATAATTACAGTAGAAATAATGATACACTCTCTCATATATCAGATAAAAGTAAGTTGAACTTTAGTGCGTAGCAGATGATTACGAAACTGTAAGTTTTGATTTTAATTTGCTCTAAACTGAGATTAATTCATTTCCGTGAGTTCTACAAGTACTAACGATGATAAAAAACAGGAGAAACAGCAAAGGTCACCACAGTACCTAAAGTCAAAGGGTTACCCCCGTCTTAATTTAATGCCAAGTAGACAATGCTTCATCTTACAGCAATATGATTAAGAGATGCTCAAAGGTTGATTCTATGTTGAAGTAGCTGCTTAACCAGATTTGTTTATTCATATTACAGCTTTTATTAAGTTACAAGTCATTGATTTATTAACTGACGATTACTGAAAACACTATGTCAGAAAAAACTTGTGAGAAAGGTATTTTACTTTGCAGTATATATATACATATATATTCCTCCAAAAGTGGTGGTCAAAATCAGAAGATCATTCCCTTGCATATAAGATGATATCCCTTGACAAAGTTGTTACACTTTTTACTACTTCATTAGTTAAATATACCGCACACTGTGAGTGCACACACAAAAATGATACCTTCAAGCTACTTTATTAAAATTATCAACACTCACTATTAGTGATCACGCTTATGTAATCAGAGCTAAAATATAAACCAAATAACGCGGAAAGGAGGGGTATTCGGTGTGTGTATATCTATGTATTGCTGAATAACGTAATTTCTTTAAGTTCCAGTTAACTGGATCAAATTAAATTCTACAAAATCTAGTGTTGACATATAAAACTCTTTCTGACAGAGATGGTTTCTATGACTTTCTAGCTTAGTGGTTTACACTGGAGTTGTTGAGATGTTTAGTGAGATGCAGGTACATCAAGCCTGTGAGAAGACGATATAAAAAATAGTGCTTGGCGATGGGCACCATCAGTAGAATTACGTTGAATGATTGCTGGCAACAGAATTTAGTAATTTTCATGGAAATTGAAATCATTTAGTCATAACATCTACTGCGTTTTTCGAAACCTTTGACAGGAGACTCCAATAAAACCGTAACCCTTTAGTGTTTGTTTAAACTACACACTCAAAATGTCACTCAATAAAGTAATCAAATAAAACTAGCTAGCGCCATTTAAGCGAGTTTCATAGAAGCCATATAAACGTCTGTACATTTGGTATATGTGAATAATAACTGATTACTAATGCAATTCCAGTGAAGTACACTTTTATTCAGTATAGTGAAAATAAATCAAATAAATAGCTGAAATTTAAATGAAAATTTTAAAAATGGATATTTCAAGCTGATTCATCCAAGGTTATTAGTAGAAAAGACTTTTCAGTTATTTCATTAGCTTAACATAGCTCAAAATATTTTAAGACTTAATGTTTAAGTTCATTTATGTTGTACGTTAAAGCTTGTCGTATACCTTCGAAAATGTCTATATTACTTCATACAGCAGTATTATGTTTTCATACTTCTGAAAATTAACAGATTCAAGCCATGGAGTTATTTACCTTATTTGAATGGTGGAACGGTGTTATTTTTATCTTGAACAACATGGCAACTGTGTATAGTAATATCCGATATACATTCATGATACCTTCCGCTAAATAATAACAAGTAAAAAAGTAAAAATTAAGTAGCAACGTGATCAGCTAGAGAGACTGCGTTCGCAGGCTGTATCCTGCATAAAAAAATGAGTGTGTGCTACTGAAGAATATCAGTGAGGCATGAAATGACATTCCGATACTGCTTGGTTCCTGTGGTTTTGTAATTTAAGTAGATACATGAAAGAACTTCACAAGAAAGAATTAAATAAGTGATTAGTTGAAATGAATTTGTCTTATGAAAACGACTGAAATTCAAGTTAATTTGCTTGAAAATTTGAAATCAGCTGGAAGAACCATGGAGAACACTTGCGGTCACTGCATTCCGACCTATCGGATGAATATAAAGCTGATCACATGGTACACTGACAGTCTAAGATCTGTCAGTATGCCATAAACTATTTCTTAATTTATATAAGTACTTGGTTACCACTCACATCAGCTAGTATTAATTGCTAACCAGATCGAAGTTGTCTAAGCACTAGACATCTGTTCTCTCTTTTTGGGAATGAGGTCATCAGCAGTATTCCCTGTTTGATTCAGCTAACAGAGCTCAGTTCAAACCAGCTAAATTCTAGCCAGCTACTTGGGTGAACTTGTAATATATCCGACTTAATTAGCGTGGTTTGAACTGATTCTTCTCTTTGAACTTAGTTGAACAGAGTGCAGCTCTAATGAGCTCGGCCAAAAACGAGCAAAACAGATGCCAAGTGTTTAAATCACTTCGGGCTGGCTAGCAGGAACTACTGATCGATATGAGTGGTATCCAACTATTCATTTCAATGAGTAATATGTAGCATCATGCATTTATGCTTGCTTTTTGATTACCATCTGTGATGCCCAGTAGATCACACACTGCGGTATGAATAGTTTCGGTCTCCAAAGGAAAGTATTTTGAAACTTCACTTCAAAATGTATAGAAAGCGAATCGTGAAATAATTAGCAAATTGAGAATTAGACCCTAAGATCTATTACTCGTGAGGCCATCTGTTTGTATCTGGACTTTGAATAAATCAAATGTTCGTATACTCAAAAACTCTATTTTGAAATAACATGATTTTATAATTAGGTGCCGCTGAAAATATCATAAATTCGTACTGTTCATAAGAAAAAATGTATCAAAGTTATGAGAATAATAATAATAAAAGTGCACACCCGCCTCTAAAATGCTTTAATATGTACACAGCGTTCCATCTCATAGAAATTCTATATTATCAGTAAATAAGACCAGTAATTATGATACTGGCTGCAATCAGATGGCAAATGATTTGTACATAATCATGTTCTGTCTCATATTAGCAAACAATTGGGTGAATCAATTTGTACACTTACTTATTGTAAAATCATTAGTCCCTTCGGAGTTGGGTATACTTTATACTACTAAATACTGATCGCCAAGAAACTTAATTTATGAGCTTTAACTGTTCATCATTGAATTCCGGCTGATCGATTATCTGACATTAAAGAGAGAGGTTCACTTCCCGGCCGGTTCACTCCTAAGCCCCAATATGCCTGTGGTAAGCCCGATAAAGGGGGACGATTGAGCGTGGAGCTAGCAATCCCACCCCTCACCACTGCTACTGAAACTTTGAAGCTTGAAGCCCTATTTTCTACAAGGAAAGCAAAGAAACAAAAAAAGAGAATAATGTACCATCGTGTACAGTAAACTTTATAAATTATTTGTTCTGACACTTTCTTCATCGAATAATATTTCAAGATATACTTTTAGAATAAAGAAAAAGGCATGTCAGATAGTTTATTACCTTGTATGAACTCACCAGTAACACTTAAGATATCACTTACGTCTGTGAATTATAACAGTAGTCTTAAAATAGTTAATCTTTTTAATACTATTTTAGACTCCTTAGTAAAACTATTCACATTGGAAGCTAATGCTATGCAATCTCTTCAATGTGTGTTTGATTAAAACGACAAAGTTACAGAATTAATTAATGTGAAAGTGATTTCTGTTTATTTTTATCAAATAGTAGCCTATGTTGCTTTACTCTCTCTCTCTCTCTCTCTGTCTATATATATATATATATATGCAGTAAAATGTATTTTTCACCATCTTTCATTAAACAGTTGAGCATTACAGAAGAAAGTCAAGAAAACCATATTCAAGGCAACAACTTATGGTTTTAGAAAAAGAATATTCATTAATGCCATATGTTACTCGTCAAAGAAGATGGGAAATTTCTAATAAATTACAACTGAGCGAAAGACAAGTAAGATAAGTGAATAAAATTCTCCTATTTTTCTTAGTTGTATTCCCCTACTATGTCTCCTTTAATTTGATTGTCAGAAGGTTTGAGATTTCTTAAAACACACGCATCAGATATTATATACAGTTTGGAATTTGTAAACTGGCTTTCCGAGATTTCATTCGACTGGTGCACCAAACGTTAGAGGTGAATAACATTCCTTCGAAGATTTGAATATAGTACTTATTGCTACCGATGACAAAGCTGTGTCCGTCAGTCTACTAAGCTCAAGTTAATCCAACCAAATAAAGGGCACTTAAATGATGCTTGAAGCAGTATAAACACCTCCATCTCTAAAGATCCGCACTCTGAAGCAGACTGATAAATTTGGCTCGAAAAATTCACCAGGGGGAAATTAAAAGCATAAATAGATGATTGAGTCATGAAAATAAGGTACAGACGGTTCAGCCAAATTGGATGACACACAAAGAAATGAATTAGAGTAGTAACTAACCCCGATGTCTCTTAGTTTAAAATTTCTGTTTGAAAAGTTGCTACGATATTTATCAGTGAAGGCTTTCTTTACTCCTGAGAAAAGCTACTTGATGTATTTAAGTACAATGTCTTTTTTGGATTTATGATTCAAAAACTCAGCCTTATAACAACAGTGATGATTCCTCTTTGAAATGTTTTAGTTTAATGACTTACTAAGTGGATTTTAATGAGTACATTTTGTAATGAGTGCATATCACATTCAGTTAACAAAGTTTAAGGGGATAGTAAGTCAAGATTTTGTTTTCGGCATATTTTATGGGAAAAAATTATTGGAACCCCTCTAGGAGATCAGTTAACAGAAAACTAATTTGAAATGGATGGTATACTATTCCTAATGTGAATGGCAAACTTCCTTCATGAATTCTGTGTAGTGATCAGGAGATTTTTACAGGTAATGGAGTAAATGAAAGGCTTCCTCCGAGTTGTTGCGTGCGGACTATGCAGTCTAGCTGCAAACTAGTGACCATGGCTTATGACCAGTCGGTCTTTTTTTCAGCTCTAATCACGCGAAATTAGATAGGGGAAGCAAGTTGTTTCTCGTTGATGAGGCTTCTGGAGATAGCTTTGGGTAGCTGGACCATTGCTGAGGTAGTATGAGGGGTACTGGTTCAAATTATGTTTCATTTTCACCATCAGTCATTAAATAACTATTAAGTACAGATTTTCCGTGAACTCATTTCGCGTTCAACTGGTTTGGTTGCTCGTGATTCAGTCAGTGGATCATTAGTTGAAGTCTTCATTTGTCAGTCAATAAAAGCGACTTATAAATAGTAAGTGATGGAGATTTCAGCAGAGATAGGAGTCGGTCAGTAGTTACTTTAACCGCGGTTTTCAGATAATATTACATCATTGATTAAAATGTAAGGATGACAGCGATTTGAAATCAGTTTTCATCAGTGTATTCGATTTGAGGAAATGAAACGCGAGTTTTTCACTCTGTGCCTCTTGTCTGAGTAGAGGTATACTCATTTTTATATAATCGAAACCCAGTAGTAGTTAATAGTTAGCAACAGTAAAAAGGGATCAGTTTCAAGTCTCCTGTCAATTCTCTTTAAAATGTTTTAGTCAAACAGATTTCAGGTTTCCATAATTGGTTTGTAAGGATTAGTTTTGTTTTTACAAGACAATCACGGATTGATATCAGTTAGAGAACCATTGAAAACCAGAGAGTACTGCCAGATAGCTGTTTCATCCTAGTTACGGAATCATCAACAGTACACACCCACCACCAACGTTCGAACCCAAGACCTTCCGGTTACAAGGCAAGCTCGTTTACAATTCTTACTTCTAATAGTTCATGACTTAGCGTGATCATCACCAAACTCTTGAAAGTCAATCTGATGCTTGCTAGTAGCTTGCTACAAGACAGAGTTTCCTAGAGTTCTAGTGAGAAGTCGTGACCAGTGAGGTCCAACCAGTCAAGTATGAGGATGGAGTTCCCACCGATGATATTGGTTGGTGGTCAAGCTAAGTCACGAATTAGTAGAAGTTAGAATTCATGGGCCATTGAATCGGGTCTCAGTGGCTGAATGGTACATGAGCTTGCCTTGTAACCGGAAGGTCCTGGGCTCGAACGTTGGTGGTGGGTGTGTACTGTTGATGATTCCGTAACTAGGATGAAACAGCTATCTGGCATTACTCCCTGGTTTTCAATGGTTCTCTAACTGATATCAATCCATGATCATCTCGTAAAAAGTTCAAGTTATTATGAAAGATGGAAATTACATCTCGTTAACTAGACTTTAATCGGTTTTTGGCATAGCAAATACATTCTAATGATATTTACTTTGAAGTGATATTGTTTATTTTGTAAACAGACTTTCCCTCCACATACTTAGTATTTTATACTCATGTCACTTTGCATAAATTAAATTTAGATTCACTTTGAGTAATGGTTGGTGTTTTTAAAAAAAATAAATAATATCTACATAATAACTGGGACCAGAAATATTTTATAGAACAGTTTTTATTATTCTCAAGATGGTAACTATTAGAAGTGTGGTTATTCGAAAGCTCGAATAAATGACGAATAGCTTTATGTGGTTTATGGTTTGTTTACACTGTGACCAGTAAGATTAAACTTCTTTATATCTATTCATTGATTACAATGAAATCACAATCTGATCACTTTAGTTAGCACTAAAGTAACGGAAACTATGCAAGTTATTCAGTTACATTCTGAAAAAAAGCACAATCCCCACACAAGTAGTTTGTGCAAATGCCAATTATTTGACAAGGTATCTGCTTCGAAAACTTACACAATTCTCTAACTTTGTATGTTATATATTTCAAATTTGCTCTTCAATGGTTAGCTTACTTAGAAGATTCTATTTTAGTATTCCCATTTTCGAGAGCTTCATGATTCATGGATAATTCTTATCCCAATATTACTAAAAAACGAAACAGGTAGTTTAGCAAAGAGTCTCGTTTTGGTGAATTCATTTTCTTTAGCTGTAGAATCTAATTTGCATACAGTTATTTCTCGTAAAAGTGGATATTGAGAATGGGATGAATTTCCTATATTACTATTACTATATTATATTTCCTATATACTCCGAAAATTTGAAGTTGTAGCTGTAGAACAGTACCAGCAGCAGTAGTACTACAAACCGTGACAGCTGTCTTCACAAAAGTAGCATTAGCAGTGATACTTGAGGAGTTCGTGGGCAAAGGCGAGTGTTTATTTTTTTATTTTTTTTATTTGTGCATCGGTGGCACAATGGTTAGGACTCTCGACGACCATGCACATGGTCCGGGGTTCGAGCCCACACCGGCGCACACCAGATATCTATGGTTGGCCTGCGAAATTGGGCTGCCGATACCCACGCTGAAAATTCCATACTTGTACCAAAAATACAGTGTGGAATCAAGCTGTTACCAAAAATAAAAAATAAAATAAAAAATCATTACATATGAGACAGTGAATAAGGGTGATAGAACTGTGTATTGAGACAAATAATTTCATAAGTGAGTTCCGTTTGGGGTGCACATATAAACAAATGAAATTTTATGTAATCTAAAATAAAATAAGTAAAATAGTTAGGTTGACAACAATAGGATCTTCACCATGATAGGTGAAAATGGGTGGAAGATTTTGTTTTGCATGCACAGCTCCAGTCTCTCCATATAGTTGGCAAAGCTTCAGCAGTGCAAAAGAGGAGAAAGTGGATCATTTTAGGCAGGTTACTTGTCACTTTATACATCACTTTAGTAAAGGCGTTCGTTGAGACAGATTAGCCAAGGTGTTCAGTCATTGCACATCTTCTGGAAACATGAGAGGTAGTATTCTTAAAACCCTTTATACAGGATCGACATCGAATGATAGTATACTTGGCTCCACAAGAATAGGTGAACTGATGTATACACACAGAAGTGGTCATAGGAGGGATCATGTTCTCTGGGCTTCTGGAAACGATACTATTAGTGTTGCTTCGAAGAAAGCTCTACTAAAGGAAGCTGAAATTCTCTTAAAGACATCGCTGAGTAGGCCCCGTGTGCAGTCAAGATTCAAGTAAAGTTTATTTTTTGACACAGATGATGTCTCATGTCTTTGAATTTTCGACTTGATATTCTTGTCAACAAATATCGGTAGATATCCGTCTTGGATCAGGATTTCTTTCAAAAAGTCTGATTGTTCTTCCTGAGCATTAGGACCGCAGATGCTTTGGATGTGAGTAGCAACAGATAAAATTGGGTCCTGTTCATGTCCACTTGTTACCCGGCTACAAAAACTTGTCATTTGGACATTCCATATGGGTTTCCTATGGATGGACTACCTTAAAGTTCCATCGGCCCTTCATGTAAATTCACAACAAGAAAAGGAATTCTAGATGCATTTTTTATTTCAAGACTGACATTTTTAGCTAAATGCCAGTTGTTGAATATCTGTAACAAATGACTGAGGTCATGACTATCATTACAGATAATAAAAATATGATCCACATATCTGGCATGCAATTGAAAATTATCAGTAGTTGACTTAAGTCGGTCATTCCCGAGGCTTGCCATGAAACGGTCTGCTGGCAACATACTAAAGGAAATCCTATTGCGATTCCATATTTTAATCTGTAAATGACATCGTCGAATGTTAATTGAACATTAAGGGCGCATCTCAGTAGTACTTCAGCTCTAAAATACAGATTCATACTTTACATACTATTTCTCAGAATATTGTCACTTGGACAGTTTAACATGAATCCTAATTTTTTTACTTTCTTGCCCACCACCAGTTGTTTACTTAGCTTCTTGCATAATGTTCTTGTATTTAACATTGTTTTTATTACATGGATTTATTTGTTCTCAAATATTTTAGTGAATCTTTAGTAATTTCCATTTTCCTTCTGTTTTCATGATGAAAATCTAATAAGAATGTTAATTTCGGTAAATGCATCGTTTTCATCGATATTAACTTCACTTGTACATATACATGACCAGCCTTACCTCTTTACCAGTCTCATTACTGGCTTAGCGAGGTAAAGGAGTGTGTCGGCCAGGGATCGAACCCCAGACTACATCAGTGGCTGGGAAGCATTCTCCCACTGTGTCACCGATGCTAGACAGATGAAAACTGGTTTCCTATTAGTTTAAGATGTAGGCAGTTGAAAAGAACCCACGAAATAAGACGAGCTGCTTTTGTAACAACAGTAAGCAAGACACGGAAGCCAAAGTATATTTTTCATTAATCAAACCGCTGTTTATATATCTACAGTTTATATTCTTTAACCAATCACTGAGCGTGTGATTTCCATTTGCATCAAACGACAAGAAATAGAATGTTCAAATAGATCTATCGTATTCTGCTGTTAATGCCGAAATGAACTGTGGTAACATGAGAGAATAACATTCTGTTGGCACACATTGTCTGTATCACAGCCCCACAGTATTATCTTGCAAATATTTTCGTTCTTTCTTTATTCAAAAAAAAAAAAAATTTAAAGTACTCTTTAGAGTCACGATGACCCCATATTATAAATGCCGATAAAGATTTTTTAATGCTAACATGCGATAAACCTCCTGTAATTATTCCGCTTAATCATACGATGAAGTGTTAATCTAAGTTAGTATTAGATAATGGACTCCGTCCTAAGTACTAAGCATTTAAATATTAGCAGTTTCATATTTCTTAATTACACAACACCTTACTTTTTTTAGTATTAATAGCATTAAACTTTTTGAATGAGTCATCCTGCCTACAAATGTTTCAATTTCTTATACTACAAAATTGTCAATAAACGAATTTGGGAATAAAATGTATTTCAATTGAAACATTCGAATATAGATATTTAATGTTTTTTTTTCTCTGTGCCATTTTTACACTAAAGGTAAAAGTTTGGTTTCAAAATCGTAGAATGAAGACAAAGAAGTTAAAAACTCGTTCATATCCAAGCAATTGTATTGTACAACACAATGTGAATAAAACCACCTTGAATGCAGAGCAATACTCAGCACTATCTGATAAACAAAAATTTCTTCAGCTAACTAATCACTGGAATCAGAATATTTCTTCAAATTCTGTTATCTCTTCCATACTCAATTATAATATACACGATGATGCTAAAAATCATCCATAAACTTTATAGTTTATAAATTTCATACAATTGTGATAATACTGATGATAAAGTTGAACAATGTATAACTATTTCCTGATGATTTTGATGTTCACTGGTGAAATGTTGAACAAATAGTTATAGCATTTTTCAAAATTGTCTATTTTACTCTTTACTTTTAAATTGATGAATTATTTCAAACTTTTTTGTCTGACTATTCACGGCAATTTACATAAAATGAGAATAATGTTATCCATTGTTCTGATGGGTAAACAATAAGCTGGATAATTTTGTAATTTAGAGACCCTTAACTGTATTACAGTATAGATATAGTACTTTGGCGCTTTATACACGCGAATAAAAAGTAAGCATGCAGGAATCTTTAGTACTTCATATTTACCAAGATTCAACTGTCATATAATACAAAATAAGCTTTTCTTATCATTAAAGTAACTAGAAAAGATATATAGGAAAGTGTTTACATTTAGTAGCGTATTCAACCTTGTCATTGGACTATGTTTTACCACGTTCATTTAAAAGTCAATTTAGAGCGAAGAACAGGTAAAACTTAACACAATACTCTGCCGTGAATCCTGCTAGAGTCCTATTCGCGGTATTCATGTAAAGAGAAACACTTTTGCAAAAGCGAAAGGATGCATTAGAATGTTTGGCATTCATTGTCGGTTTAGTTGTTACGGGACTTTATTTTCCCAAACATTAGTGTATACAGGTTTCAGGACCTGAGTAGAGTGAGTAAAGAATGCGAACACTCACTAATTTCTACGTACATACATTTTAAAGCTTCGAATTAGCTTTCTCTTAACCGGTACATTTATACTGCATTCAGTTATTTATATTTTGTTGCTTAACTGGTAGAATTGCAACTTTTTTCACTCGTGTACTGACAACTACTTCAAATCTTAATTGGTTTGTGTAGTTTTGAGATGCGTGATAGACGTTTCAAGAAAATAAGGAATCTTAATGTGACACGTAAGAGGGCTATTTTGATACAATGTGTAACGATTAAGCGTACTATCCACAGTGTTCAAACCTATATGCAGGTCGGAAAACAAAAATGTTTGTCTTTGTTGTAACTGGAGGATTATGGGATTTGTGGGTTCATTCTACTTTTACTTCAGCACAAGAAAATATTGTAACTCCAACTCTTGAAAACAATATACTACTGATTACTCAGATTAATATTCCCATATAGAGAGGACACATAAGACAGACTAGGAGACTAAAAATTTGTTTCTTTATACGAAAGACAATTTCACTTGGAATTACAAGCATTTATGTAGTTATTTTACAAAACCGATAAATGACTAGCAACAAGATAAAATTGAAAGAGGTTACTTCCTTCACTTATCTAGGAGCATCGTTTCAGCTACAGGTGACAGCATGGATGAAGATGTCAAAATCAGAATGGGAAAGGCAAGACATACCTTCATCACTCTGAAACCAGTTTGGAAATCTTCTGTAATCAGTATAAAGAACAAGATTAGGATTTTCAACACCGATGTTAAGTCACTTATTGAATATACTTCAGAAACTCGGCGCACGCGTCACGAAGAGCATTTAGAATAGGCTACTGCAGACTTTTATCAACATCTGACTTCGCTGGCTCCGTATTGAAGATTAAATGGCCAGAAAGAATTAGCAACAAGAAACTATGAGAACGAAGCACCAAAGAGCTTGTCACTCAGCATATATGACGAAGAAAATGCAGGTGAATCAGACAAACGCCGAGGAGACCGTGGGCCATCACTGGAGTGGAACTCGAATGGGCAGTGACGAGTTGGGCTGTGGTTTGAGGGTGGCATCGCGGATGAGATGAGAGACTATAGGCAATCGTGGGTCAGCTAAAGAGGACCTCAGAGAACAGGACAATATGGGGATGTTCTGTTGGAGTCCTATGTTTCACTCGCAACCCAAGGGAACAATTATAATGATTATATCTTAAGATATAGAAAGTATGTTTATGCTGGTTAACATGTAGCGTAGAAATCCCTTCAATTTACTCCATAGTCAAATTTCTGGTTTACAGGTAAAGCAAACTATGAGCCATAGTATATTTGCTTCAGTCCCAAAAGACTGCAACCATAAAAATTCTTTCTGATGATAAACCCTGTACCTAAGACACTGATATATGATTTCGTGTAAGAGTCTTGAGTATTATACCCACCTTTTGCGATTATGAGTACGTCTCATGGTCTCTTACTAAAGGAGTGAACATTTATCCGAATTCCAGAAGCTTCCATGCTTTTAACTCTTAACTAGCTGTCATAATAACTAGAAAATTTAAGGGAGTGGTTAATTCATAATACAGCATTGTGACATGAAGAATATTTATTTTGGCGAATTAAAACTCATTGAGCGAATTATAAGATACTGTAGCGGTAAATAATTCCCCAAAATTATTGACCACAGCAATCACTCATTGGATGCTGACCATCACTGTTTAAGTCGACTTGTTTAGCTGAAGGCTTCCGGTCAAGCATCCCCGCCATTTGGTACCCCGTCGTGTAACGTGCACGATCACTAGCTAGCTAAGCGTTCGTCTAACGGCTTGTTTTGGTTCCTAAATATATCCTGGTTTGGACGATCAAATATTGGCTTTTGCTTTGTCTTTGGTACGCGAGAATAAATTAATTAGAAGTTGCTGAACGAGATATCCGTCAACCTCTAAAATACCGTATGGTTCTAAGACTTGATACATAACCAGATATATCAAAGTCGGAACCAACTGGGATCATGCCTTAGTTTCCACATACTATTGAAGGTAATAATAGGAGCACGTTACATCAGGATACATATTTATCCACCGCCGACCTATAACTGCTGCCTTGACGTGGTGGTCGAGTTTGCATATCGCAATAACCCAACGAACCACACAGGCTGCAAGGAATGTTCCTGTAGGTAGTACCGTGGCTGAAATACCGTTTGGATAATAGTTAGGCTAAGTGCAATTAGCATCATAGTATTAGTTGCTCACACTATGTTGGGGGGTCTGAGGGCGAAGTTGTTTTGATCACTAATGGGATTTAAAAGCAGTAAGATGCTTCTCCAAGACAACCAGCTATGGTATCACTTTTATCTATGGAAGAAGGATTAGGAAAGGTTAGCCCCGAAAACTGTGTACCCCGACTTATCTTGCGACTATCGGTAACGGGGGGTAAGACATAACTCTAGAAACCAATCCAAACAGGCCGTGTGTGACCGGCATCAAGCAGTTGTCCCATGGGCTCTGCGGTAATGGAAAAATAAAGCCGGTTTTGTTTTCAGTATTTCAAGAAAATAGCTTCCACAGTATGGGAAACCAGGAAGCAATGTCCACCCACATACTTTCATAAGCCCACACATCTTCCCTGGTTACCATCCACCTTCATCTCCACCGACGTCATCCTCTTGTCTTCCTCCCGTTGTTCATAACATTCTATAGTGAGGTCTCTCAACCTCTCTTAACTCTGAGATCATTAATAGCGATGAGAGTCAGAAAAAAACTAGACATAGTCTCTTAAAACTACACTGAAAAATTCATATTGGAGCACCGGGACTCTTTAAGAAATAGGATAACAAGCATCCGTAGCTAGAACTGTGGCATCTTGAGCCACGGATGTATGTTATGTTTCGGGGTCACGCATGCAAGACTTAAGTGCTGTTACTGACTTAACCCCACATGGCCAGCAGGCTGAATCTACAAAATTCAGCTTACATATATTAAGAGGTTCTTCTGCAGGTTCTCAAGGACCTATAGGTGTAGCAATCAGAAAAGTTTATTGGTGGCATCTATGGAGTCCTGTTCTGACAAACGGACAGCGGGCCGTGTTCTAGAATTCTGTTGAGATAATCATCTGCTTTTCATCAGCTTAAGTTTCAAACATACAGATAGATATGGCTTAATCTGACGACTTCGATCATCAAATCAGTGATGGGCCAAAATGGATCACTTAGCAGTATTCTTTGGTGAAGAGGGTCGATATAAGACGGACGCTCTTTCTGGAACACTTCTGTAGGCTCCAGTGACTTACTAATAACTGCACATTTATGCTGAAGACCGAACGGATAGAATACAGGCACCCACGTAACCTCCACCACCTCCAACTTGACGAGAACAAAAAAGTCTTTATTTATGAGAAAAACAACTGAAGAAGTATATGAAATCGACAACGCGACTGATCTGGAGGAATCCTGGCATAATATCTAGTCAGATGTAGAAACAATAGTAATGGTTGTTGATAATGTAACCAGAAGTTAGTTAGTGAAAGTGGATTTCTGCTGCTTCGTCCAAACTGACTGACTCAAGAGGACTGATTCTGGCAAAATGACGAGCAGAGAAAGCTGACCAAAAGTCTTCTATAGTGACCATTTACGGAGGTTGGTGACAAAAGCCCAACAGATGGAAAAGACATCGGTGGTAGGTAACAGCAGACAACTAATTAGATTCATTAGGAAAATGGATTGTAAAAGACAAATCTCTGACAGTAAAGGTACCTTGGTCACTTCTCAGGACAGATGACTGGAACGCTTTGACGAACAAATAAGCTGACATGCAGACATGGTAAATTTTCCCAACGTCCAACAGCTACCTAACTGGGATGAAGATTCCATTCCTCTAATTGTAACTGAGGTTGTGAAGGCTGTCTCTAATCTGGAATGAGGCAAAACGGTGGAATGTAATGGTACGACTTCAGAGTTGTTTGGAGATGGTGATGATTAACTACCGACAAGGGTGAATTAAGATATTTGGTTACGTCTAGGAACCAGAAACAGTTCGTTGGATTGATGTAAATCATTGATTACACCAGTTTGTAAGAAGGTAACAAGACTTCCTGTGATAATCATAAGAGGATTAGACTAACATTGTATTTAAATTTCTAGGTTCAATAATCATGCGTAGACAGCGGTACTGGAGGGAAACAAAACAGTGAGAAACAGGCAGGCTTAAGGCCTGGGTGATGAGGTATGGATCATACCATCACCCTTCGACAGCCTCTACAACATAGACAAACTTACCGGCGTTCATCACTTCTTATATTTCTTGACCTGAAAGCAGCATTTAACTCTGTCAATGAATGGTGCTTTAGTAATGTGTGACTGGGAAGGGTGTGTTTGCATGTGATTCACTCCTGCCAAATGCAGGTTAGTCCTGCAGGACTGATCTGCACTGGCTCCCAGTCTACAGATAGGGAGTGAAATGTATGAGAATGTTAACAATTTCATTTATTCGTATCACTTCTAATGGAATGATTGCTGACGAAATCTTGACACACATATAAAAAACTAGTATGTCATTTACCAACTTAAATCATCTGTGGCGTAGACGTGATATCCAGCTTTCGATAACATGACAT